GGTGTCCATTTAGGTTTCTTTTTCAGTGAACTTGCTGATCATATTCTTTGCCCATTTTTCTACTGGCTGTTTGTCTATTTTTGATAAAGAAATGTGGTAAATCATAAGAAATCTTTAAAAATTCTGGGCCAATACTCTGTTGGTTAGGTATGTTGAAACTACTTTCTATTAGTCTCTGGCTTATCTTTTAATTTTTATATTTTACATAGCTTTATATTTTAAAGTACTAAAAGTTGTCATATTTGTCAACGTTTTCAAAAATATATATATATGAGTGCAAATATATATTTTTAAAGATTTTATTTATTTATTTGACAGAGAGAGAGACGGCAAGGGGGGTAACACAGCCAGGGGGAGTGTGAGAGGGAGAAGCAGGCTTCCTGCTGAGCAGGGAGCCCAAAGCGGGGCTTGATCCCAGGACCCTGGGATCATGACCTGAGCTGAAGGCAGACGCTTAAGGACTGAGCCACTCAGGAGCCCCTCAAAAATATTTTTAGAAAAAATTCTTCCCACACCCATAAAGGTATATACTCCTATGGTAATAATAGTAATAATAATTACATTTATATAGTGCTTATTATATGGCATGCCATATTTTAAATATTTTATATAGAGAGAGAGACTGTAGAGTTGACATAGCATGTTATGTTAGTTTCAGTAGTACAACACAGTGATTCAACAACCCTTGACATTATGCTATGCTCACTGCAAGTGTAGCTACCATCTGTCACCATGCAAGGCTATTATAATACCATTGACTATATTCCTCATGCCTGTAACTTTTATTCCTGTGACTTAGTCATTCCATACTGAAAGCCTGTATCTCCCACTCCCCTTCACCCATTTTGCCCATCCCCCACCCCCTCCCCTCTGGCAATCATCTGTTTGTTCATTGTATTTATGGGTCTGATTCTGTTATTCGTTTATTCATTTATTTGTTTAGATTCCATATATAAGTGAAATCATGTTGTATTTGTCTTTCTCTCTCTCACTAATTTCACGTAGCATAATACCTTCTAGGTCCATCCATGTTGTTACAAAATGGCAAGATTTCATTCTTTTTTATGGCTGAGTAATATTTCTGTGTGTGTGTGTGTGTGTGTGTGTATACACAACGTCTTCTTTATCCATTCACTTTTGGTGGGAATGTAAATTGGTACAGCCCCTGTGAAAAACAGTACGGAATTTCCTCAAAAAATTAAAAATAGAAAAGACCATATGATCCAATAACTCTACTCCTGGGTATTTACCCAAAGAAAATGAAAGCACTAATTCAAAAAGATATATGCACTACCACTCTGGAAAACAGTATGGAGGTTCCTCAAACAGTTGAAAACAGAGCTACCATACGATCCAGCAATTGCACTACTGGGTATTTACCACAAAGATACAAATGTAGGGATCCGAAGGGGTACGTGCACCTCAACGTTTATAGCAGCAATGCCACTATAGCCAAACTGTGGAAGGAGCCAAGATGTCCAACGACAGATGAATGGATAAAGAAGATGTGGTATATATACACAATGGAATATTACACAGCCATCAAAAGGAATGAGATCTTGCCATTTGCAACGACGTGGATGGAACTGGAGGGTGTTATGCTAAGTGAAATAAGTCAATCAGAGAAAGACATGTATCATATGACCTCACTGATATGAGGAATTCTTAATCTCAGGAAACAAACTGAGGGTTGCTGGAGTGGTGGGGGGTCGGAGGGATGGGGTGGCTGGGTGATAGACATTGGGTAGGGTATGTGCTATGGTGAGCACTGTGAATTGTGCAAGACTGTTGAATCACAGATCTGTACTTCTGAAACAAATAATGCAACATATGTTAAGAAAAAAGAAAAAGAAGAAGATAGCAGGAGGGGAAGAATGAAGGGGAGTAAGTCGGAGGGGGAGATGAACCATGAGAGACGATGGACTCTGAAAAACAAACTGAGGATTCTAGAGGGGAGGGGGGTGGAGGGATGGGTTAGCCTGGTGATGGGTATTAAAGAGGGCACATTTTGTGTGGAGCACTGGGTGTTATGCACAAACAATGAATCATGGAATACTACATCAAAAACTAATGATGTAATGTATGGTGATTAACAATAAAAAAAAAAAAAGATATATGCACTCCCATGTTTACTGCAGCATTACTTACAATAGCCAAGATATGAAAGCAGCCCAAGTATTCATCGATATTTTATATATTCATTAATCTTCATAATAATAGCACCTACTTTGTAGCATTGTTGTCTCTACTTTGCAGATGAGGAAACTGAGTCATAAGAAGGCTTCTCCTAAAAGTTTTAAAGTTTTACTTTTTACTTTTGGGTATTTAACCGATCTGGAATTTTATTTTTGTGTATGGCATAAGCTAGGATCTAATTATAGTTTTTCCTCATACAATTAACAAATTGCCTCATATTATTTATCAAATGGGCCATCCTTTCCCCACTGATTTATAATGCTTTTCCAGTCTTTTTTTTTTAATTTATTTTTTTTAAAGATTTTATTTATTTATTTGACAGAGAGAGACACAGCAAGAGAGGGAACATAAGCAGGGAGAGTGGGAGAGGGAGAAGCAGGCTTCCTGCGGAGCAGGGAGCCCGATGTGGGGCTCAATCCCAGGACCCTGGGATCATGACCTGAGCTGAAGGCAAACGCTTAACGACTGAGCCACCCAGGCACCCCTGCTTTTCCAGTCTTATCACAAAATCTGACTTATACATGAGTCCATTTCTAGGTTTTATTGTCTGTTCTACTGGATATTAGTCTTTCCCTATATCAATGCTGTATTGATTTAATTATGATGGTATGGATTTTGGTACAGTGATTTTTCTGTCCAAATTCTACTTTTTCAAAATTGTCTGGACTAGTTTTGGCCCTCTGACTTCTAGGACTACCTTGTAAAGTTGTACATAGTATTACTGGAAGTGCATCATATATCCTTTTTAAAGTATGCAAATATTTCTGCCGAGTCTCCCTCCCCATAATCAGTGTGAATAAATTAATTTCCTTTGCAGTGAAAAAGAGAATAACACAATATTAGAATGTAAAAAAGAGGGACGCCTGGGTGGCTCAGTTGGTTATGTGTCTGCTTTTGGCTCAGGTCATGATCCCAGGGTCCTGGAATGGAGCCCCGCATCGGGCTCCCTGCTCAGCGGGGAGTCTGCTTCTCCCTCTGCCCCTCCCCTTGCTCATGTTCTTTCTCTCACTCAAATAAATAAAATCTTAAAAAAAAAAAAAGAATGTAGAAAAGAAGTCTACCACCTCAATATCCTTTAACAGAGGACCAGTCAAATGAATTATGGTATATCCATAATACTGGAGGAGTAAGATGAGGCCAGGTAAAAAAAAAAAAAAAAAAAAGAAAGAAAAAGAAAATGAGGTCTAGAGGTCTAAGTTACTAATCTAAAACAGATCTCCAAGACGTTGTTAAGTGAAAAATCAATATACAGAACCACTTGTAGATGTTAACTTGGGTGAGAAAAGGAATGTAATACATGTATATCCATATTTGTTTGTATATTTGTAAAGAGGCTTTGGAAGGATATACAAGAAATGAGTAACAGTGGTGCCTGTATGTACTGGCAGGAGTGGGAAAGGAAATGGGTCAATAGGGCCAGAGGTCTGAGAAGTTCTTTCACTGCATGTCTTTTTATGTTTTTTGATTTATAAACCATATGAATATTACTTATTTTAAAAAAATTAAATATTAAATATTCTAATTCTCCTCCCTGAATTCAGTTTTTTTTAAAAAGTAGTATTTCTTTAAGGTCAAAAAAAAAAAGAAGACAAGTCTTGCATCTTTATCATATGTTTCTTTGTTCAAGGAAGGAGTCAGTGAAGCAATTAGAAATGCAATACAAAGTATCCCAAGTTGTCTTTACAAGCCAAACATTTCAGGATAAAGAAAACTATAGTCTGAGAATCAAACTGGAGCTCAGAAATTCTTACAGGATCAATTTGGATACCAGAGTAGAGGAAATTAACCCAAATAACTAGATGAAGAAATTTTTAAAAATAATGAAAAAATTAAATGTATTTATAAAAATTTTAAATAAAAATCTAGATAAAGGCAATGTTGGAGCCGGATCCCAGTGGCTTTGGAAGGTCAACGGTGCATCACTTTCTCTAACTCCACAGTAATCTTATCTGCCCCACCAGTGACCTGAGAATCATTGGTTAAATCTGCCAGTATAGCCCCGGATAAAGGTGACTTTAGGATACATTAAAGTTCAAAAAATACAAACAGAGAATAAAGAATCTGTGGTATGTTAGACAATTTTATGTAAATGCAACAATGTTTGGGGAACAACTTTAAAGCAGAGGGCATCTTCTAACAAGAAGTTTTCTCTGAGGTTGCTCTGTAAATGGGTCAAATAGAGTTTTTACAGTCAGATCTTGGATAAGCCTGCTATTACTTTTTTAGATTTCTCTTATACACATTGAAATTAAATTACTACTGGGAAGGAAGGATATAAGTTATCATTCATGATATGGAGAATGGATGGTTTTCAAATATTAATACTTATTATTGTATATTCCCACATTTGTTATTTGCTATATCTGCTCAAACTCTTTTAAATTAATAACACGAAAATGTAGCAAAGAGAAAGTAACCTTCTGATGTTATACAAAAGCATAGAAAAAAAATTTAATAAATTCACACTGCCTGGCCCACATATAGCAGTGACCCATTAAATAAGAGCAGGATGAATGAATTAACAATTATAGTCAGGAGTGATTCTCAAAAGTATAATAAAAACAACTCTTTCGGGGCACCTGGGTGGCTCAGTTGTTAAGCATCTGCCTTTGGCTCAGATTATGATCCCAGGGCCCTGGGATGGAGCCCCACATCAGGCTCCCTGCTTAATGGAAAGCCTGCTTCTCCCTTCTCCCACTCCCCCTGCTTGTGTTCCCTCTCTCGCTGTGTCTCTCTCTGTCAAATAAATAAAATCTTAAAAAAAACAAAACCAAAACCAAAAAAAACACAACTCTTTCACTTACCCAATTCAATACAGGTGATTCCAAGTGACCAAATATCAACTTTCCCATCATACTGTCCTTCGTCCATAGCTAAGATCACCTCTGGAGCCATCCTGCCAAATGTACAAAATTTGAGTTGCAAATTAAAAACAAAATTCATCTAATGAAGTGATTTGGTGAAATAGCTGTTTGAGCAGTCTAAAATTTTGTCTAATAAAGATATTATTTCCTTATACAAGTCATTTGGAAAAACAGTGTTCAAAACATAAACATTATTCTCAAGGATTTACAGGAAACAACACATTATTTTCAATAAATCCTGGTTCCACCATTATCTATCAGTTTTACTGCGGCTAAATTACTTAACCTCTCTGTATATCAGTTTTCCCATCTGTAATGTGGAGAGAATTCTAGTAGCTACCTCAGAAAGATTTGTAAAGGATTAATATGTAGGAAATACTCAAACAAATAACTATAGACAACATAGAAAATACTTATGGAACTATTTAAAACAATATAATCAGATATTTCAAAGATATTACAACTTAAAAAATAAACAAACAGGCTATGATAATGGATATTGTTTGTCCAGAATGGATTTCCATAGGAGGGCAGGGATCTTATCAGTTTAATATGGTTTTTTTTTCTGTTACTATATGTAAGTGACTGCTTAGTAAATGCTACTTGATGATCATTGACAGAAAGGAAATTCAAATAGTAGCTAATTTTTTTAGTAGGTAAGTAATTATTCAGGGATATAAGTCATTGTCCAAGGTACAATGAAATTCTAGTTTATCTATGAAAGGAAGGAAAGGTATCTTGAATAGATGGGGTGAAATTTTCGGTCCGAGTGACAAACTAAGAAAAGTCAAAAAAAGAACTCAACAAAAAAAAGAAACCAGATTTCTTTCACTGAAAGGTAATATTTATGCTTGTTGACTAGAGAAGGTTAAAGAAACTACTTTGTCCTTGCCTAGAGATTCTGCTTCAAGAGAAAGTTTCAAAAGAAACTTCAAATGAAATCTAAAACCTGAGCTAGGTCAGTGAGTTGATAATCCTGCTCAGTTTACACACAGTGACATCAACCTTATTTGAACAATTTAAAGTCTCCGGAAATTTTATACTAAGTCAGAGTGTTTCTTTCTTTTGCCAGTGAGTTTTCTATCCTTTAATGAAATCTCATTTGAGGCACATGGTGAGACACTGTCAAAAAACAAAACAAAAGCAATGCTTTGAGCTCATCTTGTTCATGTATGCGTATTTTAAAATTCTAGTTTTTAAATTCTACATACCAGTAAGGTGTGCCCACAAAGGAGTTGGCAGGAGAAGCCATTGAGGCAGATCCAAAATCAGCTAGTTTCACCTGACCTGGCTCTGTTAGAAGAATATTTCCTGCTTTAATATCCCTATAGGAAAAAATATGAGGGTTAGAAAATTACTTTTCAACTCTGATTATGGAATAGGTCAGAGCATGCAATTAATAAGACAAAAAGTTTATTAAAAAAATACCTTGCTCAGATAGCCAGAAGGGGATTTAGTAATTACTGCATGTTATAAGGGGGCCCAGATTCCTGGGTGTACTTACAGGTAGGTCAAAGTAATTACTAAAAGGTAGAGCTTTATTTAGAGGGAAGGAATGCAGTGAGAAAAAAGGCAGACAGACGTGGCAGACAAGGAAACCTATTCCGTTGCTACACTTAAAAAAGCATATTCTCAGATGCTAAATCCAGTCATCAACAGTATCCCTTATGCTGGGAAAACTGGTGCCATTTGTAACTGCCTTTTTTTTTCTTTTCCAAATTACGTAACATTTTTGGAGTGTAAATAAACCTTCAATAACTGTATTATCTACCTACCAATAAAGCTCAACTACACACATACCTTTTCTTTCTTGCCTGTGACCCTTTCTCTCTGCCTTAATTGTAACTGCAACTCTAAGGCATTTGAGGGTACATGTTATATAGAAGGTGTTATTTTAAAAATAACACTGTACAGTAAAAAGAAGACCCTGAAAGATCAAAACAAACAAGGATTAGGGATTAGGAAATTGCATTTCTATTGTATTACTACAAAGAATTGCAAGCTGTTACTACTAAAGCTATTAGATATTTTATGCAGCAGAAAAGTTTTCAAAATATTATTTTAAAATATTCATTGTTGAGGATGATAATTTAGAATGAAAAGACGTGGATGTACTCTTGATTCTCTTCAAAAAAAGCATGAGGTGTAATGAGTACTAGGAACCAAGACTTATAAATTGGTGGGCCGTGGAAAGACAAAGCAGAGAGAATGAGGAAACTGTAAGCTGAAAATGAGAAGGTTCAAATGTTTCCAAAACAATGTCTCCCAAAATTTTCTCTTGAAAATTCAGTTTCTTTAGTCAAGATGACATTAGGCATTGGCAGAGAGAACTAAAAAAAACACTTATTTATCTAACAACAGAAAAATCTCTCTTCTCTATTACCTTCAATTAGAACACTGACTTGTCAAATCAAAATAATAAATCTGAGACATGGTTTTTATTTTTAAATAGGGAGCACACTTTATTATTATTATTATTATTATAAGATTTTATTTATTCATTTGACAGAGAGAGAGATAGCGAGAGCAGGAACACAAGCAGGGGGAGCGGGAGAGGGAGAAGCAGGCTTCCCGCTGAACAGGGAGCCCAGATGCAGGGCTTGATCCCAGGACCCTGGGATCATGACCTGAGCGAAGGCAGACACTTAACGACTGAGCCACCCAGGCGCCCCGGGGAGCACACTTGAAAAGCTTTGTTTTTTCAACTTCTTTTATATACTAAAGAAGATAAAGTATAATATAGAATATAAAACATTAAATTAATATGCAGATTTTGTTAACAAAGGCACAAAAAAATGAACCACGGCTTTAAACAGGAAATAGCAAAATCATATATAAACAAGTTGGCATTTGGTAATGACATTTCGGTACCAAAAAAATGTACTATAAAATTTTTTTTTGTCAAACCCATAGACATTATGGTTAAATCCATTTTATCAGCATTTATTAGATATGGTTAGGTTCATTCTTTGTCTTTATTATACATAAGCCAAATTCACGGCAGGAATTTTGGTCTGCCTATTTTGAGGAAGTTCTGCCTTTGTCGTACCAGTAACTGATAATGGCTACTCTGGGGTGATTAAAACAGAAGCAAAAGGGGAACCTATGATGTAATAGTTTCATTTCTTCCTAGTAAATGTCAAAGTTTTTTCTTTTGTTTTTGAGCCATTGGAGATCCTTTATATCTACCCCGTATTCCACTATTTCTGCCACCATTCATTAAAGTAACTGTACTAGCAGTTCTTTACTGAGAGAAGGAAAGATTAGGAACAACATCTTTATTTAGGAGAAGCTAGTGGTAGGAAGTAGATTGGAGGTAGGACAGTGGAGTTGTGGTAGAGAAAATAAAAGGTAGAGGAAAGCGCTGAATTAGGAGTTAGGAAATCTGAGCTTCAATCTTTATTATGTAAAACCTGTGAAACTACGGGCAATTATTTTAATCTTTCAGAGTCCCAGTTTCTTCATCTGCCAAGATAAATACAATAATATCTTCCTAAATATCTATGTGGACTAAAGAAAAGCACAGTATTTTAAAGTTACGAAATAGCAGGCATTTATATAATATTGACTTGTTATTTGCAACAGGAAAAGGAGAAGAAACTCAGCTAGGAAATAAATATATGGAAGGAAGGCTAATTTTCTTTTCTTCTTGGCATTGTATCAAAAGGCTGCTGGGCCTTTCCTCAAATTTTCCTGCAACATCCTCCCTTGGAGAACATATACCTATAGAACAGAGGTGATGCAAGTCTTTGTGAACATCTGGGACAGACCAAGAGACAGAAGCTAAATTCTGACAACTTTTCTTCTTACATCCAGCAGCAGCAGCAATCTCTTTGCTTCCTATAAATCCACAGGCACCCTAAAAAGTGGAGCAGGCACTAACTTTCAAGATTCCTTGGATAGTCCTGTAACTGACATGTAACTGGTCTCCAATCTTACCTATGAATCAGTGCATGAGAATGCAGGTAGGCCAGCCCCTGCAAGGCACCGTGAGTAATGGCAGCGATTTCCACTTCTTGAAGTGGTTTTTTGTGAACTGAGGGAGGAAAAGAAAAATTCAGAAGTAGCAATCAGTTGCATTCTTCTTCTTAAAATCTTACACAGTTATACCAAACTGAATTACATACTCTCAAATGACAATTTGGGAACACATCCACCATATTTCCTATAGAATTGCAATAAATAATCAGATAACAGGAAACTCAAGTACAAAAACAAACAAACAAACAAACTCCTTAAAACAAAATAAACAAAGCCTGATATTCACTGTAATGAGTTGTTAATTGACCTGTCAGTTGCAAGTCAAAGCCACCACTAATTCCAACTGGCCAGGCCCAAATTTACCAGTCCTTTCTGACATTTTAAATGCCTAGAATGTTTTAGGTTGTATTATTCTCCTCTCCACAGAGCATCTATAATGACCTCTTCTAACTACAGGTTTTCATTATTTTTGAAAGCACCTAATAAGCAATTTCTATTCAGAGATCAAGGGTGATATAAAAAAGTTTTTTTTTAATGTAAATTTTTAACCCAGTCTCTGATTAAAATAGTATTTGCAGAAGAGAACTGGGTCAAGTCAGGATATTGGAAGGAGTTAAATATCAATATAATTTGATACCATCTACCTCTCTTTCATATATACATATGAATTTGACGTTTTTGGCTACATACATCATATTAGCCGAACATTTTAGTAAGTACCTGCCCTGGATGGGCCATGCACTGAACAGCAGGAGGGCTGTTAATCATTCCCGAGACACTTTCAGCGCTGCAGAGATAAAGTTTGCACAGCTCATCCACACAACCCTTAGGTCTGAGTCAGCATCCATTTGCTTTGCCCAAATTACACTTTAATATAGGAGTAGATACTATTCTGGTCAAGGCAGAACATAAAGGAGGGGGATAGTGCTTTTATTCTTACCTTCTAACAAATCAGAGGCTGAGCCTAAGCAATATTCCATCACCAACTGTAATAGATTAAAATAATAACCAGAATAATGACAGTTAATAAGAAACTGCTAAAACCAACTAAGTAACCAAGGAACTAAGAATGCTAGGAGAGTAAGTATTCTTTTTTTTTAAGACTTTATTTATTTATTTGAAAGAGAGAGCGAGAGAGAGAGAGAGCACGTGAGTGAGAGAGAGAACATGAGCAGGGTGGAGGGACAGAGGGAGGGGGAGAAGCAGGCTCTGCAGAGCAGGGAGCCCGATGCAGGACCCGATCCCAGGACCCCGGGATCATGACGTGAGCCGAAGGCAGACGCTCAACGACTGAGCCACCCAGGCGCCCTGAGAGTAAGTATTCTGACCTACTTGAACCTGGATTTAATTTTGGTCATCTGACACTAATTGATTTTTTATAACTTTTATCATATGGTTTTATTTCCTCCTTGGAACTGGAATGTTCTAAGACTATAAGGGCACTGGGTACAAATGGTGAAGCTGAGATTGCTACTAACTTACTAGTTTCTACACTATCTTGTTTCAAAAATATTTAAGGTAGCTAGTTGCACTAGAAGTTAAATTTTGTAACTTGGAAAGTGGCAACCAAATACATGAGCCAATATAATCTATCCTGGGAAATACTAACTAAATAAAACAAACAAGTAGTAAATTCCTATTTTCACATTTAAAACAGTTCTAAACAAGAAAATATTGTTGAGGACTCAATCTGAAAACATAGCTTGCTATGTGTCTGTCACTACATATCTTGCATCTCTGAGAGGGATATTTAAATTTTTATCTTAGAAAATTTCTAGAACAGTATTATTAAAATACTATTGATATTTACTGGGTTTGCAATCTTGGGAGTCTTTTCAAAAGCAAAAAGGAGAAAATTCTTTTACTCTCATCTTAGATTTTTTTTTTTATGTGTCCCAGACTACTGATTTATAGACAAGGTCAGAATCATGAGTGCTCAGCGACCACTCTCTACACACACAAGCGCACACACACACACTCTCTCTTTCTCCATACTATTTTCTTATTCTAAAAAATACCATGTTCCTTTGAAATACAAATTTCCTAACGTCACCTACTCATAACCACTATTAACATATTAGCTCTTTTCATTTAAAATAATTGATGCAAAAACATGTGTTTATTATGTACTTTGTATTACGGAATAATTTAGAAGTATATAAAATTATATAATTACAAAATACATGAGATATAAAATTATATATGATATATGATGTTATAATATATATTATAGCATATAATCATACACTATATAAGATTAATATATAGTATCATATTCTTCTATATCATTCTCGTAATGCCAGGTACATAATACATATTATATATCATGTATTATTTTTTTAAAGATTTTATTTATTTATTTGTTAGAGAGAGAGTGCTCACAAGCAGGGCGAGAGGGAGTGGCAGGCAGAGGGAAAAGCAGGCTCCCCGCTGAGCAGGGAGCCTGATGTGGGACTCAATCCCAGGACCCTGGGATCATGACCTGAGCTGAAGGCAGATGCTTAACCAACTGAGCTACCCAGGCATCCCATATATCATATATTATTATGTATAACAGAGTTAATATTTACATCTAAACTATTAAATTTATTATATATTTATATACGTAATTAAATATATAACTATATATGTTAAAATTATTCCACTACAGAATAATTTAAAACATAAGAAACACAGAAGTTTAAAGTTTTGACATTTTATTATAGTTTTCTGCTTAACATTAAAATAAGCAGATTCAGAAAAATTAATTTTATTTATGTATTAATAGAAGTATAATTGACATATAATATTATGTTGATTTCAGGTATACTTCATAGTGATTCAACAATTATCCATTATTAAATGCTCACCACCCTAAGTGTAGTTACCATCTGTCACCATATGAAGTTATTACAATATTACTGACTATATCCCTATGCTGTACTTTTCATCTTCATTATTTTATAACTGGAAGTTTGCACCTCTTAATTCCCTTTATGTATTTCACCCATTCCCCCACCCCTGTCCCATCTGGCAACTAACAGTTTGTTCTATGTGTTTATTAGTCTGTTCCTGGTTTTTTGTTTGTTCATTTTTTTTTGGATTCCACATATAAGTGAAATCATATGGTATTTGTCTTTCTCTGTCCAACTTATTTCACTTAGCATAATACCCTCTAGGTCAATCCATGTTGTCGCAAATGACAAGATTTCATTCTTTTTTATGGCTGAGTAATATTACACTGTATATGTTCTTAAATTTTTTTTTAAAGATTTTATTTATTTATTTGACAGAGAGAGACACAGCGAGAGAGGGAACACAAGCAGGGGAAGTGGGAGAGGGAGAAGCAGGCTTCCCGCAGAGCGGGGAGCCCAATTTGGGGCTTGATCCCAGGACCCTGGGACCATAACCTGAGCCGAAGGCAGATGCTCAATGACTGAGCCACCAAGGCGCCCCTCTATTCTTAATTTTTTGCGGAAACTCCATACAGTGGCTGCACCAATTTACATTCCCACCAAAAATGCACAAGGATTCCCTTTTCTCCACATCCTTGCCAACAGTTTTTTTTTCTTGTCTTTTTGGTACTAGACATTCTAACTGGTGTGACGTATAATTTTATTTCTTATTGTGAAATGAGAGATTCCACATTAAATCAATATTATAATAAACATTAACCTTTTATGTGCACTATTTTTTCCACTTTATTGAGGTATAATTGACAAACACTCCTTATTTTGTTTTTTTAAAGATTTATTTATTTGACAGAGAGACAGCAAGAGAGGGAACAAAAGCAGGGAAGTGGGAGAGGGAGAAGCAGGCTCCCCACTGAGCAGGGAGCCCATCATGACTTGAGCCGAAGGCAGACGCTTAACGACTGAGCCACCCAGGCATCCCAATTTACTTCGTTAAGAAATGTTTCCATCAAAATTGGTTGAAGAAGGAGTGTTTGGGGGCTCCTGGGTGGCTCAGTCATTAAGCGTCTGCCTTCGGCTCAGATCATGATCCCAGTGTCCTGGGATTGAGCCCCGCATCAGGTTCCTTGCTCAGCGGGGAGCCTGCTTCTTCCTCTGCCTGCCGCTGCCCCTGCTTGTGAGCTCTCTCTCTGTGCCAAAGAAATAAAGAAAATCTTAAAAAAAAAAAACTAAGTAAATTAATATGCACATATAACTTCCTTTAACTGAGTATATGGAATATGAACATAGAACTTTAAAACCAAATGGAGAGAATATGGTTCTAGGACAGTTATGGTTATATTTTTAAAATTTTTATGTTAATGTATATTTTGATCATTTTATCTTTTCCCTATTATTCCATAACACAAGGACACCTGAGCTGTGGCTAGTTGTTTGCTCCTGACATTAACAGCTCTAGTTGCTCTACCTTTTTTTTTTAAACATTTTTTATTTATTTTATTTGAGAGAGAGAATGAGATAGAGAGCACGAGAGGGAAGAGGGTCAGAGGGAGAAGCAGACTCCCTGCTGAGCAGGGAGCCCGATGTGGGACTCGATCCAGGGACTCCAGGATCATGACCTGAGCCGAAGGCGGTCGCTTAACCAACTGAGCCACCCAGGTGCCCTCTACCTTTTTTTTTTTAAATAGAGTTATTTATGTACTTGAGACAGAGAGAGACTGAGCCAACGTGGGGGGAGGAGGGCAGAGGGAGAGGGAGAGAGAAACTCAAGCAGACTCTGTGCGAAGTGTGGAGCCCAACTTAATCTCAATCTCACGACCCTGAGATCATGACCTGAGTTAAAATCAAGAGTTGGACTTTCAAATGACTGTGCCACCCAGGTGCCCTTCTACTTCTTAATTATAGGTCTGCTTTCTAACTTCCCTGATTTCTTCCTTCTGGTCATATTAGTCCTGTGGCTGTTTGTATGCATGTCTCCAGCAGTTTAGTTCCTATGAGCTCCTTCTATTTAGCCTATCAAATCTGTTGTGGACAGAGACCCATTAACCAACCTTATGAGCACTCTATGTAATCTAAGAGTAAATAGGCTTTAAATAAGAGCTCAGAGGATTTTCTGAAGACTCCAAACACATAATATTTAGCACTTGATTTTGTAACATTTATCCTGCATGCTTAAAATCCCTTTCTTGACTCCTTTAAGATGGGGGAGATTGCCAGAGAACTGATGTCCAGATAATGAAATACTCCTCTGAATAATTTCTTCTGCTCAGAACACATGCAATGACTCTAGACATCTTAAAAGCTGCTTGAAAAGAAATGTTTATGTTTAAGTATATTGTTTGATAGTCCATCTGGGAACAAAAATTCCATTCCCTAACTGGAGATCACCTGTACATGGTAACTTCTCAATAAATCAATCTCAATAAATGACAGTTAGATTGGACTTTAAATTGGAACGTAAGGTCTGATAAAGTACAAAGTATATAGCATTTTCATGTACTAAACAGTAGCTAACCTAAACACAGAAACACAATCATGTAAAAATATACTAAAAAGATAGAGTGGAACAAAAGAGTTTTTTGAGGTAGGACTGGGGGCAGAGGGATAGGTAGAGAGAGAATCCCAAGCAGGCTCCACACCCAGCAAAGAGTATGACATAGGGCTTGATCTCATAACCCTGAGATCATGACCTGAGCCAAAATCAAGAGTCAGACACTAACCCAACTGAGCCACCCAGGCACCCAGGACTGTTTCATTTTAATCATATGCTAGGCCCTGTCTGATAAAACGTAGACCATGATGGTAATACTAAGCATAATCCCAAATTTTGGGGGAATTTGAGTGGGGGATGAGAAATTACAACAATAAAAATTCTAGGATGAGAATAAAAGAATCTGCCTTTTACTTTGGCAAAAAAATCATAAAATGGTACTAACTTTTCACTATCTGTTGTTTATAGAATAAAATTTCCCATAGGCTATATATCATATTTAATCTTATAGAATGTTTACCATATGGCACACTCTGAGGTATTAACAAATGTTAAATACTGATAACAAAAGTCAAATGGGACAGAAATGGGACTGATAATTTTACAGATCAAAGAGATAATAGAGGGGCGCCTGGGTGGCTCAGGTCATGATTCCAGGGTCCTGGGATCAAACCCCACGTCGGGCTCCCTGCTCAGCAGGAAGCCTGCTTCTCCCTCTCCCACTGCCCTTGCTTGTGTTCCTGCTCTTGCTAGCTCTCTCTCTGTCAAATAAATACATACAATCATTAAAAAAATAAAATTAAATTAAAAAAAACAAAGAGATAACAGAAAAAAATAGAAAAAAATTTAATTGGAAATAAATGATAATACAGGTCCTTTGACTTACCCAAGCAGTGTGCTCTTTCAAGTAACAACCTTTATACTCAATGGTATTAGGATGCTTTAATTGTCGTAGAAATTTGACTTCCTTGAGGATATCTTGCCATTTCTAATGAAGTAATAAGGAAAATGGTATAATTTTTTAGGCTGGAAATAGTATTTTACTATCAAGTATACATATATAATATTCTTTTCATTATTTTAAATGGACAAAGTAAAAGTTTAATAAATGAAGAAGCCGTTTAAACTCCTGTTATTTCTTTAATTTTAGTACCTGTAAATGTAAATCTATTAAAATATATGATAAATCTATTATACTAACTTATGTTCTATTCCACAAATTAGTTGATTGAGGTAGAATATTAAGAATATTTATTATATATGCCACAAAAAGGAATAAAAAAATAACTATGATAAATGTTTAAAGAACTTTGTTGCTACCATCAATTTCATACTAACTGGTTTATGTCAGTTTAGGTATACAACTGTCTTTAACATACCTCATGTGTCTGTTTCCCACTGTAAGACATTTTCTTAACTGCCACGACCTCATTGGTGTGAGCATTTGTGGCCTGTGTTGAGACAGAAGAAAAAATAAGAAAGAATGATGTTTCAGCCACTTTAACTTAAATATTCGACTAGAGACTTTAAATAACATTCTCACACTTCACTATCATAGTTTAAAGATGCTGCAACTTCTGATAGACTAGATAGACATTTCCCCCCCACTGTAAAATACAGCTTCTTTAGGTCCCTATCCATATACATGCAAAGACCATAATATTAAAAAGGATTAGGGTTTAAAAAATATATATACAATCAAACAAAAACAAGTCAAACTTCCAAAACATCCATACTGGCTTCACCATATAAAATGTCCATCGATGGAGAACCAGTTAGATAATGTGGTACAATCACATGATGAAATAAACAGTAAAAGTATGAGGTAATGTATATGAATATACAGAAATGTGGAAAGATATAAAAAACAAGCTGCATATTATCCTACTTTTGCAAAATAATATTAATGTGAGTGTATGTGTAGAAAGAATATGAGAGAATTTATACCAGAATATATATCAGTGATAATCCCTGGAGCAGTGTTGTCCAACAGAACTTTCTGTCTTGATGGAAATGCTATCTACATTGTATATGATAGCATGTGAAATGTGGCTACAGTGACTGAGGAAATGGAGTTTACATTTTAATTAATTTAAATCTAAATTGTGGCTATTGCATTGAACAATGCAGCAGAAGATAAGATTAATTTTAAGAGGGACTTTCACTTCCAAGGAGACTTATGTTTTATAGTAAGAAGGTATTACATACATACTTACAAACATGTGTGTGTGTCTTCATCTATAAAGACTGCCTTGTCTCATAATTATCTCTATAGCTTTTCCATACCCCAAATACAACTCAGTGAAAGCACACATGAAAATAACAAATAACTCAAGTAATAGTCTTCCTCCAGATTTTCTTAAGAGATTTAAAACCAGATAATTTTCTAAAAATTTTTGGAAAAGTAAGTAGAAGACATTAAAAGATTATCTAATTTTGGCTTTCTTCTAATAACAGAGCTCTGCATCAGTGCCATACTCCTGATGGCAGTAAGCTATTTTGATTCTATGATATTATTATTGTAAACCAGTAAAGCTACGGCAGTGGTTCTGAGGTAAAAGATTGGAATTCACTCACTGATACAATCAGGTCACCAATTTTAGAGAAAAATGTAGAATCACTTTCTTAAATACACTTAAAGAAGCTCCTCAGATAAAACAATGAATTTCTTTCTAATTAAAAAAAATTTTTTATTTTTTCTAATTAAAAAAATTTTAAGTTAAAAAATGAACAACTTATTGATATAAAAATTCAGCCAGAGTCTTACTGAATGACAAAATGCTGAACAAATGAACACACAAAAATTTTTTTTTATTATTTTTTAAGGATTTTAATTTATTTATTGAGAGAGATAATGATAGAGAGAGAGCATGAGAGGGTGGAGAGTCAGAGGGAGAAGCAGACTCGCCGCCGAGCAGGGAGCCCGATGTGGGACTCGATCCCGGGACTCCAGGATCATGACCTGAGCCGAAGGCAGTCGCTTAAACAACTGACCCACCCAGGAGCCCTTTTATTTTTTTTTTCATGACCTGAGCCGAAGGCAGTCGCTTAAACAACTGACCCACCCAGGAGCCCTTTTATTTTTTTTTTAAAGATTTTAATTTATGAAAAAATAATTTTTTTAAATAATTTTTGTATTGTTATGTTAACCACCATACATTACATCATTAGTTTTTGATGCAGTGTTCCATGATTCATTGTTTGTGCATAACACCCAGTGCTCCACACAGAATGTGCCCTCTTTAATACCCATCACCAGGCTAACCCATCCCCCCACCCCCAGCCCTCTAGAACCCTCAGTTTGTTTTTCAGAGTCCATCGTCTCTAATGGTTCATCTAAAAATATATTTTTTTATAAGCACTAAAGAAAGGCAAAAATACCTATTATAAAAATAAGGTATCTACTAGAGTTTTCACATCAGCAGGCCTCTACAAAGGCATTTTTTAGATATTTTGTTCATTTAGAAGGTATAGATGGACTTTCATTAAAAACAAAAATCTCTCACATTTTGCTGGCTTTTGAAATTTAACTCTAAGACTGCTCATATGACAGCAACAAAGACAAGTTGATGTGAATTCAGTATTACAATAAAGGTTAGAGTGACTGTATCTAAAAAGTGGATATTTTGGGGATGAATATGTACTGTGCAGGTTAAACAGACTGGGAAAGGTTTAGGAAATGCTCAATGAGGAATTTTAACTTGTAATGGGATTTTTTAAAAAACAAATCCTTAACCTTTATAAAAAGAAAAAAAAAAAGACCCACACAAATGGAATCAGATGGTACGAATTGCTTATTAAGGTTATTTATAATCAACGCTTATTTGGAAACAGAGACTTGAAAAAGGTTACCCTAGGATAAAAATATATTTCTTGGGGCACTTGGGTGGTTCAGTCGGTTAAGTGTCCGATTCTTGATTTCGGGTCAGGTCATGATCTCAGAGTCTTGAGATCGAGCCTGTGTCTTGCTCTGTGCTCAGCAGGGAGTCTGCTTGAGATTCTCTCTCTCCCTCTTCCTCTGCCCCTCCCCCTGCACATGCTCTCTAAAAATAAATCTTTAAAAAATATATATATATAATAAATGTAATATATATATATTTCTTTACATTTACAGAGTAATCATTACTTAGGACTTGGTAAGTATATTTCCTTACAAAACCTGCCTACTGGAGCACAGACTCATTATTTGAAAAACATTTTCATGTTGATTTTTCTTAGATGTGAAATTTTTTTTTTAAGATTTTATTTATTTATTTGAGAGAGAGAGAATGAGAGACAGAGAGCATGAGAGGAAGGAGGGTGAGAGGGAGAAGCAGACTCCCTGCTGAGCAGGGAGCCTGCTGAGGGACTCGATCCCGGGACTCCAGGATCATGACCTGAGCCGAAGGCAGTTACTTAACCAACTGAGCCACCCAGGCACCCCCTTAGATGTGACATTTATTTTTTAAGTTTTAATTTAAATTCCAGTTAGTTAACATACAGTGTAATATTAGTTTCAGGTATACAATTTAGTGATTCAACAACTCCATACAGCACCCAGTGCTTATCACAAGTGTGCTCCTTAATCCCCATCACGTGTTTCACCTGTCTCCTCCCCCTTCCCCTCTGGTAACCATCAGTTTGTTCTCTAAAGTTAAGAGTTGGTTTAGATGTAAAAAAAAAAATTTTTTTTTAAGATTTTTATTTATTTGTTGGGGGCGGGGAGCACAAGCAGAGGGAGTGGCAGGCAGAGGGAGAGAGAGAAGCAGGCTCCCCGCTGAGCAAGGAGCCCGACATGGGACTCAATCCCAGGACCCCGGGATCATGACCTGAGCTGAAGGCAGATGCTTAGCCGACTGAGCCATCCAGGCATCCCCCCCACAAAAAAATTTTTTTTTTAAGATTTTTATTTATTTATTTGACAGAGAAAGACACAGCGAGAGAGGGAACACAAGTGGAGGAGTGGGAGAGGGAGAAGCAGGCTTCCCGTGGAGCAGGGAGCCCGATGCGGGGCTCGATCCCAGGACCCTCGGATTATGACCAGAAGCGAAGGCAGACACTCAATGAATGAGCCACCAGGGTGCCCCTAGATGTAAAATTTTTAATGCAATTTTATACTGGTTAAAATTCAGAACTGAAAGTTAAAAAAAATTAATTTTTTTTTTTTAAAGATTTTATTTATTTATCTGAGAGAGAGAATGAGAGACAGCATGAGAGGGAGGAGGGTGAGAAGGAGAAGCAGACACTCTGCTGAGCAGGGAGCCTGATGTGGGACTCGATTCCGGGACTCCAGGATCATGACCTGAGCCGAAGGCAGTCGCTTAACCAACTGAGCCACCCAGGCACCCCCAAAAAATTAATGTTTTAATACAGAAAAAGGAAACTATCAGTGGGGTCTCAGCTTTCCAGTACTTCAAACAATATTATGATTACAACCTCTACACATGTCAAGTGTTATTCTTGAAACTTACATTCATATTTAACACTTCCAAGTGTCTTAATAATCTCAGTAACTTTAAGCAAAATCATTGATTCAAAAAATATTTAGAGTACTATGTGTTTCTGACATTTTCTCAACCCTTTCCAGCTACATTTAGATTACTGTCCACTTGTTGCTAATTTATAGAGAAATATAAAAATTAAAAATAAGCTTTTCTTTTTGCCTTAGTTATTAAGTCTCAACTAAAAGGTAATAATTATACCCAGAAGGACAGAATTAAATTATTAGCCTTAGGTGGATTATAGAAGATATGTGAAGTTCAACAAGGCAACAGTACAAACGTAGAAACTTCATAGTTGTGTTTAAGTGAATAAAAAATGAACATGCTCGGTCCTTTTCTATTTTCCTTTCATACAGAGTTTCTTACTATCTCATTTGTTAATGCTGCTAATTTCTGAATCACATATGTAAATCCAAACACACAGAGGTATTTCATCAATAGCTTCTATTTTTTTCTAAATATACTCTCAGCTGATTGAATCTATGAGAGCTTGCTTTAAACATATTTCCGGGCATCATTAGGGTAAAAGCTGTAAACTACAAAAGTCTAACAGAATTACAGTGTTTAGGTATAAAAATGTTGGTTGCTAGAATCTGGTCTTAATGGCTTGCTAGCATGACTAGGATTTATGAAAAGTACTAATTAGCAGTACCCCAAGTTCTCTGAGTTCTTTATAATTTACTCATTCATTCCATGAATACTTATTAGGTATTCAAAAAGTGTCAGTTATTGGGCTAAGAATTGTGAGTAAATATGCCCAGTACCTATCGCTTGTTACAGACAGTAACAAAAATATCATAACCAACAAATGTAAAATTGCAATTATGACAGGTGCTATAAAGAAGAGTATGTGTTACTCTGAGAAACAAAAATGGGCAGGTCAAGCAAGGCTTCCCTGAAGAAATGAGGCTTCAGCTGAGAGCAAAAAGAGGAACAGGAGTTAAGAACGTGAAGGTAATGGGCGCCTGAGGG